AGCATTCTTAATCATATTCCCATAAGCTTCCAGGGTTGGAAGATCTTTCTTTATATTCTTTATATTGCCCCAGTATTCTGTACTCTTTGGCTCTGTTTTTATACTTTTTCTGCTTCTCTATAATGATTGCTCTACTTGACTCTAGAAGCAGTGCTTACATAGGCATTAAGTAAAAAAAGTCTCTAGTGCCCTGCCCTGCCTCCTTCTTGAGAGATTCATTATTTTCTCACCAGAGAATAAAAGTTTAACATCTAAGATGTATTGAAAGGCACTGTTTACATACTTTGGTGAGTTACCTGACCCTATCACTAGCCTATCTACTGGCATTCATTTTCATTATTTAGAATAATGATCCAGAGATTTTTCATCTAGAGGCCCCAAAGCCTTGTCATTTTACAACTTCTGGTTACGAGTAAACTGTCTTTGTCTTTGATTTAGTAAAATGCCCTCACACATTAGTTGAAAACCTGAATTAACCATTTTTTGGAGAATATGTTATTTGTTAAATAGGTTGTTTGGATGAGAAGTTGAGAATTGCTAAATACCTACGGGTCTTCACAATCCACAGATTTTTTACTGTCTTCTTACTAATACAATAATAATGAGGGATGTTAGTAATGAGGTAGAAACATCCTTGTTACAAGGAATTGGTTATAATGGTTTTGATAAAATTAGGATTTCAGCTGTGTTTGTATTTAATATAAACCCTTGGTTACAGTCATGCTTTTCAATTTTACCATTGCTTTTTTTTTAAGTGTTTGTTTTGTAATACTTGCAGGAAACGTGTCCCCGATCACCACCCCTGTTAAACATTCCCATGTGCTGTTGAGCTCTGGACCAGTTAGTTCATAGCAAAGTTGTGTTTGAAAGACTTCGACCTTTTAAAGAAGACTGTGGAATCGAGAAGTTTATCTGTGGCTCTTACATCCTTAAGTTTGGACATTTAACTGACCTCTTTTAACATGGGTCTAATTTATTTGCTGTTTCATTATCCATAAAATTTAGTTGATTTAAAAGTTCATTTCTCATACTGCATCAAAATAAAAATTTGAACAATTAATTGTTCTTATCTGTCTTAGTGGTGGTTTGTACTTTTTTTTTATTTAATGGGAGCAAATGATTATACTCTCAGTATGGAGTTGTTTGGCTTAACTGATGATTGACCGTACACATTTATGAAATCATGATCTTGTCAAGTCCAAGTCAGATGTGATAAACATAAACATAGGTTAATCTCTTGGTTTGTAATATGTAACCTTTATTAGCTGTTTAATTTTATTTAGTGAAAGTATCTTAAAGTTTAGTACTCAGTTTAATTTTGTGTTAGTCTAAGTATTATCTCTTACATAGGGCAAAACGATCATGGTTTCTGTTACTTCGAGTTTGAAAGAGTCCTGTTTTAAAAGTCATTTGTTACAAGCTGTTTCTCAAGCACCTTTGGTGCTTTAATGGGTAATATCTTTAAAAAAGACGGATGTGGTTAGATTTAGGCATTGTTGATTGTTGATCAGTCAGGATTTTTTGTTTTTGGCAAATGGATTCTAGAAAGAGTGGGAATAGGGATAGGTATGTACTGAGTTAATGGTTTAAAGGTGAATTTAGATGTGGAGGTTATTAATGCCTCAATGTATAGCAGAAATGAAAGTCCAGCAGTAGGTTGAGTTTTTACAGCGTATCTCTGCTACCTTAATGGAAAGACATTTTATTCCCATAGAGGAACAAAAGGGTTTTCAAAGAAATGCTGATAAAACAACCTGTTTTATTGTGTTTCTTTTTCTAAAGTAGGCTCCACGTGGGGCTTGAACCCATGACCCTGAGATCGAGCCACATGCTCTACCGACTCAGCTGGCCAAGCGCCCCCAGTCTGTTTTGGTTTTGTCTAAAAAGTTTGTCTAAACATTTTAATATTACTTTTGTAGAAGCTATTAAAACTGGGAAAACTTATGTTTTTTTTGTGGTCCTAGTTTATGTCCTCCAACATTCACATAAAGGAGAAGCTTTTCCTGAGATTATCAAAGAGAATTGTACTGATTTTGTTTTAAGTACTTTATCACATCGTAACATCTGTTTTCATCTCCATACCTCGGGTGGAACAGGTGAGCATATCATGACCAAGAAAACCTACAGAGGTTTCAGTAGAAGTGGGTTTAAACATCTGAGAGTGCTAGATAGCCTGGAGTAAGATCTTAAAAGGATACTTGGGCATGTTTTCTCCAGAGGTCTTAAAAAGGATACACCTGTTAAGTATTAATCTAAAAAGAGGTAGAAACATGGGAGCTTCATTGTTATATCCAAAAATACACCCATGCCTCTTTTCCTCTTTGAATTCATATCCTTTGAAGACCTTACATTGTTGTCATAGATGTAGACTATCTCAGGTTCACAAATTTTAATGTCTTTTCAGTCAGAACTTAAATACCAACCTAGGCCCCGCTATTCCTATAACAGTTTTAGGATGGAGTTTCTTATAACTCAGAAACAGTAAATACGTAAGCAGTGAGTTTTTCACAAAACTTTTGTGACATGGAAATAGAGATTTGGAATGCATGTTAATAGTAAGCACATGAAAAACTGTTAAGTGCTTAGGATTTTTAAATCTAAGTAGCCTTCAGTTTTTCTTTGAAGGGTAATATGTATACTCTTTATTCTCCTTTTACTGTCTTCAAGCCAGGATCCATTCTTTGCCTGCTTGGAGGCCATGGGCCCACCCACTTTCCTTGTTGACTGCCTCACCACTTCCTGTGGTTTAACTCAGGAGGCACTGGCAAGATACGGGGATAGGGAATTGATATTTTCTTCCAGCTTTTGCTCTTTGTCTCTGGAAATGGCTGCATCCCTGTGAGACCTACAGTTTGGCTGGTAGCCCCTTTCTTCATGCCTTTTAGCTTTTTCTAGATTAGGGTAACATTGCTGTTCACTGTTCATCTAGCCTCCTCCTAACATTCCTATCTGGCTGTCTCAGTACTATCTTGATCCCCCACACCCCCAATCTTGTCTAGTAATAGGTCCTTAGGATTGGCTCTCCTTCTGCCCCTCCCACCCCATGTGTGCACTCGCGTACTCACTCTCAAAAAAGATTTTTCTCTGATGCATAACATTTTAGGTTTCAGGGCTTTTAAAATTATGAGTAAAAAGTTCTATTTGGTGCTTCATTTTCCCCTTTTTAACTTTCTAATTATGCCAGAATTTCAAGAAAACATCAGAGGGCTACAGAAATGTTAATATGCATTTACATGCTTTATAAAATTGAAATCCTGTAGTGAAAACATTTTTGGGTAGCAGGAGCAGTGGTGAACCCTTAACCATATTGTTTGAGAAATGTTTGTTGTATGTTATTTTAGAAGAAAACCACTGGACTAAGTGCCAAATGTTTATAATTTGACATTTGATTCAGACCAGTTAGCTCTTTAGATGAGAACTCTGTACAGGTCAGTTGGCATCACTCTGTTTTATGGCTGTAGCCTAGGGGTGGAAAAGGTGGGCCCATTAATCTTAGGAGGAGGAAGACAGGGTCAAAAGAAATCAGCCATCTATAAGGCTGGCTGTAGACACAGTTCAGAAGGCAGTTCTGTTGGCATAACGTTTCTAGCATCTACTGAGTATATAGTTTCGTTTTAGTCAGACATGAGAAAATAAACTGTAGATCCTAGTTGCCTAGTGGAAATCTGGACTGGTTACTAAAGGAGTTAAATATTTGACAGCCTATTATATTGAATGATTAAAGGGGATCTCTTGGCAGTCTAATCAGTGGGTTGCAAATATTCTACAGACTGGGAGGTAGCAATAGGAAGAGATTGTGATATGAAACGTTTTCTTCCTCTGGTTTAGCAAGAAATATTTATAGTAGGAAAACACTTGAAAATAGTCTGTGCAGTCATTTTAGAACCAAACATTGCTGGGTAAAGTTGCTTTTATGGCAAAAGTAACTTTTCAAAAGCTAAACACATGAAAGTTTTAGTAAAGAGGACACTTTGTGTCCGTGCTGGAAGGGTTCAAAAACATAAAGGACTATATTATATTAAATCACCCACTGACAGCAGTATCTTTAAGGTTGATGTATTTATGTGTAGAAGAAAAGGTCACAATTTACATTTTAAAAAATGGCCAAAATACCTAAGCTATATACTGACCATCAAAAGACCCTGTCTACAAAAATCAACAGAAATCAGAGCAAAGGCTGAGAAGCTGCGGCTAGAGGCAGAAGCGTCCTATGTATACCACAACCTGCAACTCAGATTTCCAGATGCTTGTTTCAAGTAAACATTTTTCACCTACTGCCTTTATCCTAATATGGCTCTGGAAATGTTTCCCTCAATGGAAGGGGATTCAGTTCAGCTCTGCTTCGTTAATGTGAATAAACAGAGGGACTCTGCTCTGCAGAGGCAGACAGGATTACAACTGGGCTTGATTTTAATAAGACCACATTGCCAACAAGGGGTTCTACTTTCTAGATGACTTCTAGCATTGTGGTAACAGGAAGCAGTTGAGAGCAGATCTTGGGTCATACCCTTTAGGGAAAACCAGCTAAGTCAGCATGAACCTCTGTCAAGTGTAAAGTGGCAGCTGGACTCCATCAGGAGGCATTTTCCATCGGGTCTTCTCACAGCATGCACTGAGCTGGAGGGAAGAAGCTTCATCTTGAGCCTTTGCAACAGCATAGAGTCTGTGAGTCTGACTGAGGAGTTAAAAATGTCTTTTATAAGCGGCCTGAATTAGTAGTATTTTCATATCACTTATGGTCATTCATAGTAACACAATATATCCTGCAAAGGGCTGGAGCCAGGCGAATTCTTTAGTAAATACCCTATTTGAGGAGTTCATGAGCATCGTGACCAGCCACTTCTGGAGAGTGGAGAAGGACAAAATGTCCTGGCCCTTCTTACTCTTCAGTGTTTCAAAATAGCTGGAGAAGCTGATTTTCTTGCAAAGAAGGCCTCATGCTACCCAGAGCACACAGCTTCGCTTTGGGAGAGATGTTGGCCAGAAATTTTTTCTTCTTGGTGTGATTGAGGCGTTTCTTCTCACTTGATCAGCCCCCACTGGCAGAGGCACCCCACATATCCCAGAGCAATCCTTTGCACTCTAAAGGAGAGGTGTCCAGAAGACACTGGGGTTGTGTCCTTGGCCTTGACTGACAGCTGAAGCTTTTCAGGAGTTGGGAGGAAGAAGTAGAGAAGGCAGAGCAGGTGCCTCTCCATCCTGGCTTTCCTCCAGGGTCAAGGCATAGCGTCTGGCTTTCCTGGGGTCGGGCTCTGGCGTCTCCTCTGCCCATCTTCCCACACGGCGCACACCTTTGGCCACCTTGGGTGCATTCCTGCAAGGATTATGGTCATAGATGACCAGCTTCAGACTTGACAGGTGGGCCAGGCTGGGGAAGTAACGGATGCTGTTCCTGTCCACATCGATCACCTCGAGGAAGGGCATGTGCAGCAGCACAGCAGGGAAGTCAGTCAGCAGGTTGCCTGAGAGCCAGATGGTCCGCAGCTCCCGGAGGCGCTGGAGCTGGCCTGGCAGGAGACGCAGGGCGTTGGAGCCGGCGTGCAGCGTCTTAAGGAGCCTCAGCTCACAGACCACATCTGGCAGCTGGGTGAGGCAGTTGGCCTCCACCCACAGGGTCCGGAGATTCTGGAGCAGGCTCAGCTCACTGGGGAGGTCGCAAAGTTTGTTGTTACCCAGGTAGAGGATGCAGAGCTGTTTCAAAGTACACACCACCTGAGGCAGAGCCTTGAAGTTGTTGAAATCCAGGGCCAAGATCTGCAGATTCTGGAGCTGCCCCAGCTCAGGAGGCAGGCTGTTGAGGTGGTTGTCACTCAGGTAGAGCTTGACCAGCTCCTGGAAGGAGCACACGTGCGCGGGGAAGCGGCGGAGCCGCTTCCCACTCAGGTCCACCATCTTGTCCGTCGGCATCTCCCGGAGGTCTCTGACTACGTAGCTCTGGCAGCAGTCGGTGGGGACGAAGGCCACCAGGGCCCTGATGGCGTTCCCCATGCCGAGGCCGGAGGCACAGTGAGCCCCGGCCCACTGACTCGCCGATGGCGCGCCCCCGGGGGCGGGGGCTGCTGCGGACTGCCCGGAGGCCCATTCTCCTCTCCCGTCATAACCTGGGATCGGCCTGACAAAAGCCAGTCACTTCGACAGAGAAAAGTGCTCACGATAGCCACTTGAGTGTCGGGTGACAGGGTCTGGGAGGCCAGGTCTGATTCACAGACTTGCTTTCAGTCACCTAAGCTCCGGTTGCCTTTATCTACATTTTTTGTTTGTTTCTTTCAAGCTGAAAATAGCTTCACTGTTTTTTCTAATGATAAAACATTCAGACCTTATATAAATGTGTAACAGAAGAAAATAGTCCTCTTACCAGGGATAAATACTGTAAACATTTTAAGGTATGTCCTCTAGCCTTTTTGCCACAAGTAACCAATTTATTTTTAAAAATTTACTTAACACTGTTTAGGAGTCTTTTGTCATAACGTATGGACATAGTTTTGTGTTTGCATAACCACCTGTATTCCATTACATGGAGGCATCGTAAGTGCATACAGGTCTGTAATGTTGGGCACCTACCTGGCTTACAATCATCCCCATACTTGCAGTGTGAGCAGTCATCCACTAATTTCCCTAGGACAGGTCCTTTAGATGTGTTCTTGGGTCAAAGATATGCATCTTTTTAAAGGCTTTTCCTTGATAGGGTTCCTCCCTACCCCCACCGCATCTGAACCAGTGTACCTACCACCCTTCTAATAGTTTTCCATAGTTTACAATTTGCCTTTGACAAAAGACAAGTAGAAAAGCAGGAGAGAAGAGGAAAGCCGGCCTCCTGAAGCTTAACTAAATGAGGATGTGTCTGTGGCAGCGAACAGTTAATTGCCAACCTAAGGCTTGTGCTTTTCCTCCACAGTGTCCAGTCATAGGAAGCAGCTATCCAGCCAGGACAGGGCCTACTACTGGGCTTGGGCGGAGAGTCTAATTCTGGCCAGTGGAATGTGGGCAGAAGTGATACATGTCTCTTCTAGGCCTGGCTCATATAAAACCTTGCCTTCCTGCACACTCTTTTTCCCCATCTGCTTGCTGGATATCAACACCAAGGCTGACCTTAGAAGCCACCGTGTAGAAGTCACATGTTGAAGTTGGCAGGGCCTTGGTTATCCTGGATCCCTGAATAAGTGCTAGGATCAGAACACTTCCCCGCCTCCCTACACACACATTCCCTACCACCAGTTGGATTTAGATAAATGAGAAATAAACCTCACTTTTGTTAAGCCATCCAGATCTGGGAGTGTATCTATTACATTATCTTAGTGAATAGAGCATTTGATAAAAATAAGGAGGTAAGTCTATGTATACTGATACGCAAAGATAAGATAAATGAAGGGGGGGGAGGCACGTTTCAGAAGTTTTTTATGAGCCCATCTGTGAAAAAATATGCGTATATTCTTGTGTATGCATAAAAAGATAGCTGAGACCTAACAGTGATTATCTCTGGGGAATCTGCCGGGAGGTTTGGGGGTGATAGGAATCCTGACCTTTCCATCTTTCTGCAAGTACCCTCTTGTGCTCTCTGACTGTTTTTTCTTTTTTAAACTATAGACCTACATTTTAAACCTATTCCAAAAGAGACAATCTATCAGCCTGCCTGCTATATGGATAGAGTGCCGGGGTTTGCGGGGAGGCTTGGCATACTCTTCACCTTCCTCCAGTGCCTTTACTGTTCAATTGCTCCTAACAGCCTAAGCAGAGCAGGAGAAGAGCATTCCACGAGAATGGCTATTTCAGAGCTCTCTGATGATGCAGGGCCACTACCCACCTTCCTTCTCAGTCACAACTGAAGACTGAACGTCCTTGGACTTCCTACGCATTGACTGTCAGAGGCTATTATCTTGAGCCTTCTCTTTGCTTTGTTGATTTGTACTATAATAACTAGCCTCTCAACAAGTACTGTACTTTGCCTCTATATTTAGCCTGGCTACTGGTGACCACAGATGGTCATGAGGCCGCTGCCCTGTTGCCCCTAGAAATGACGAGAACAATGATTGCTACCTGTTATTATTTGTAACCAATCTGCTGAATACTAAGCACTGTGCCAGGTGCTTTCCATCTACCATCTCTTCTCAGAACACCTGCCAGAAATACATTTTTTTCAAGATTTATTTATTAGAGAGAGAGAATGACCAGCGGGGAGGGGCAGAGGGAGAGAGAGAGAAACAGACTCGCCACTGAGCATGGAGCCCAACACAGGGCTTTGATTCCAGGACTCTGAGATCATGACCTGAGCTGAAATCAAGAACTGGATGCTCAACTGACTGAGCCACCCAGGTGCTCCTCAGATAAATATTTTTTATCCCCAATTTTCAGATGAGAAAACCAAGGCTCCAAGAGGTTTCGTAATAACATCAAATATTTATCGAGCACCCACTGTGTTCTAGATGCAGGGAATCTTGTGGCTAACAAGATAGCTAGGACTCTCATGAAGTGTACAGTTCCACCAGAGCGAGGATGGTGGGTTCTCTTCCCGGAGTGAAGGTCCCATCAGCTGACAAACTCTGCCCTCATGGAACTTCCACTTGGCACTTTTTATTTTTTAAGATTTATTTGACAGAGCACAAGCAGGGGGAGCGGCAGGCAGAGGGAGAGGGAGAAGCAGACTCCCCGCTGAGCAGGGAGCCTGATGCGGGACTTGATCCCAGAACTCTGGCTGGGATCATGACCTAAGCCGAAGGCAGACGCTTAACTGACTGAGTCACCCAGGCGCCCCTTCACTCGGCACTTAAATACCAGCCCCTAAATATGAGCAGGTAGCTGAGGCTAACCATACAGTTGAGAAGGGCCTTTTGTATGAAAGATGGAGATGGAAATAAGCGAATACAAGAAATTAAAAAAATAAAAATAATGGAGAGAACAGAAGAGGATTATAACTACAGTATTTTCAGAGTTTGTCCTGCCCTCACTTTTCATGCCTTTTATTGGGTTTAAAGTGAATAAAATGTCCCTTGGGAAGCACGGAGGGTTATGGATTAACCATTACCATGATTAGTGTATTGACCCACCCTGGTGATTGTCCCTGGCAAAGGGATAGCCTGCAGATTCGATGGCATTTCCTAGGTCCACGTGACCCTCTTCACAAAGCCGCTGGAAGGATCACATCCTCATCAGACCACAGATGTCTGTGAATATATAAAATGCATCACATGATCCCTGTGACCCTGGAGGGCTCTGTACTGGTCGATCTAAGGGACAGGTAGGAAATGTTCAAGGCTCAGCTCAGCCAAGAACTGAAGATGGTGAGAAGTCTCGGAAAAGGAGTCAGAACAGTGTAAGAAGACAGCGGTTTAAAGCAAGAGATGGGGGAGGCAGGCCTGCTGCTGACAGTGACTGGTTCCTGGGAGGTTTCCCAAGGGCTCCATGCTCACAGCCCCCCATTGCTCAAGGCACATAGGGTTGTGATCTTGAGGCTTCAGAAGGGCACTGACCACTTCATCTCTGCTCTTCATCTGCTTTGCTATCCACTGTGCCCTTACCAGCCCCCAGCTACCCATTTCCCACCTGTTGGCCACAATGCCTCCTTGTGGCATCAAAGCCTCCCCTTAAGTCTGGGCAGAGGCTTCTGATTCCCGCAGAACGAAGCCCAGACTCCTCAGCGAGGCTTATAGGACCCTACCAGATCCACCTCTGTCCATCTCTCCAGCCCATTGGGAGCTACCTTCCTCCCTTGCTGCCTCCTCTGGCTCATCGAATGTGCCACCTGTCCCCCGCATCAGGAGGGACGTCCCCCATGCAGCCCCCTCCGCCTGGGATGCCCTCCACAACCCCCACCCCTCTCCACTCTTCATTCGTACCGTTGTACCGAGCATGTCATGTCCTGACCTCTCAGACTGAGTTTCACGCTGTCTAGTGATTTTACACTGTGTGACAGTACTTCCCTGTAAAAACCTACTGATTGCCCAGCTCCAGGACGGGACTATAATCTCCATGAGGGCAGATCTGCTGGGATTGGCTTCCTGTTGCATCTGTCTGTCTCCACCTCAGTGCCTGGCACCCAGTGGGTCCTCAGCAAGCAGCAATAAATGAGCTGACGTTAATTGGCCGGTGAAGTAGGACTTGATTTGCATACAGAAAATTATTTTTAAATACTAAAGACAGCACTAAATACAGGTAAGAACACAGATGTGATTTATTATGCCCATCAGTACTGCTATAGATAGTACCTTGTATAAAACCCTTGAGTTTAACACACACACACCTGATTGTGCTTATAATGTATTTATAATGTGATATATAAATATAAAGTTTCACATTATAAAAGTATTTGTTGGGGCGCCTACATGGTGCAGTTAAGCATCTGACTCTTGGTTTCGGCTCAGGTGGTAGTCTCAGGGTTGTGAGATCGAGCCCCTGCTTATTAAGACTCTCTCCCTCTCCCTCTGCCCACCCCTGAACTAAATAAAATCTTTCAAAAAAAAAAAGATTGTTTTATTGGGAAAGGGGGAGTTGGGGTGGATAGTTTCACATATAGAATGATAAACAATAACAGAGTTACTTTTCTGACTGGTGTTTTAATCAAAGTTTTTTTTCTTCCTAAATAAAAACTACTTCTAAACCCATAGTCTGGGGCACCTGGGTGGCTCAGTCAGTTAAGTGTCTGCCTTCGGCTCAGGTCGTAATCTCTGGGTCCGGGATCGAGCCCCAAGTCGCGGGCTCCCTGCTCAGCAGGGAGTCTGCTTCTCTCTCTCTCTCTCTCTCTCTCCCCCTCCCTCCCTCATAAATAAGTAAAATCTTAAGCCCATAGTCCTAAAATCTATATAATTTGGGGGCCTGAGTGGCTCAGTTGGCTAAGCGTCCAACTTTTGACTTTGGCTCAGGTCATGATCTCAGGGTCATGAGATTGAGCCCTGGGTTGGACTCCACGCTCAGCATGTAGTCTGCTTGAGATCCTCTCTTCCTCTCCCCCTGCTCATGCTCTCTAAATAAGTAAATAGGTAAAAAAATAAAATCTGTATATC